AAAAAGAAATGCTTGAAAGGAGAAACTCCCGCGGAATTAACAAATATAGAGTAAACGGGAGTAACAGGTCATAAAGCTTGCGTGATAGGAAAATTTTTGGCAACAATCCAGTTAAGGAATAAGAAAATCAAGCATCCTATGTACGATGTAAGGGATGATTTTCCTATAAATTATGAAGGAATTTTGAGAAGCGATTTCTTAAAGAAATATTACGTCACTCACGACTATAGGAAAGGGAAAATTCTCGTGGGACAGGAGGCATTGACCCTGCATCCTCATAGAAACATAGAGATACCATCGAGATGTGAGGCCATTATAACAGCGATAACAGATACCAATCAAGTAGGATTAATTGAGGCAGAAGAGAAACAGCCAGAAGTATTCATCGGCAGTTGTCTCGTACAACCAAAAAATTATTTGTGCCCCGTGAGCATAATCAACACAACGGAATGAGCCGTAAAAATGCAGATTCCGTAGGTGAAAATTGAGTCATTAACGGACGTCGATGGAAATTTGGAGATAAACGAGATGAAAAATAAATTTAGCGGCCTTACGCGTCAGGAAAAAATAAAAGAAATGTTGCGGGTACAACATTTAAATAAAGAAGAAAGAAAGAAAATTTACGAGTTAAGCGAAGAATATAGCGATATTTTTTACTTAGCCGGTGAACCGCTGAGTAAGACAAACGCGGTAGAGCATCAAATTCCGATCAAGGCTGACACTGCGCCGATTAATGTAAGGCCGTACCGACTGTCAGAAAAACATAAAAAAGAAGTTGATAGGCAGATAGGAGAAATGCTAGACAATAAAATAATTCGACCTAGCAAAAGTCAGTGGAATGCGCCACTTCTAGTAGTACCTAAGAAGATGGACGCGTCGGGCATCAGAAAACTNAGAATAGTAGCGGATTTTCGACGTCTAAACGACGTAACCATCGGAGATTCGTTTCCACTACCTAACATAACGGAAATTTTGGGCCAGCTAGGAAATGCTAAGTACTTCTCTACGTTAGACTTAGCGTCGGGTTATCATCAGATACCCATGAAAGAGACGGATAAATGCAAGACAGCTTTTTCAACGCCGTACGGGCATTACGAGTATAATCGAATGCCCTTCAGGTTAAAGAACGCGCCAGCAACGTTCCAGAGGCTGATAAATTCAGTTTTGACTGGACTATAGGGCATAAAGTGCTTCGTATATCTGGATGATATAGTGATACATGGAGCCAGTTTAGAAGAACACAGTAAGCGGCTAAGAGATGTGTTCGAGCGACTTCGAGAAAGTAATTTGAAGTGAAGTTACAGCCTGACAAATGTGAATTTTTTCGGAAGGAAGTCACGTACCTAGGGCACATTATTACCGAGGATGGAATAAAACCAGATCCATCGAAAATAAGTGCAGTAAGAGATTTTCCTGTGCCGACAAAGATAAAAGATATACAGGCTTTCATAGGATTGGCGGGCTATTATCGGAAATTCATTGACCAATTCTCAAGAGTTGCAAAACCTCTGACTCATCTAACACGAAAAGGAGTCAAGTTCGAGTGGGGCCAAGAACAGCAACAGGCATTTGAAATATTAAAGGAAAGATTGAGCAGCGCACTAGGGATGGGCGATATTTTACGATTAATCGAAATGAACGATAGTTTTCTTTTTAGTAACCGATTAATTGGTTCGATGTTTTCTTTATCATTACATCGATGCATCGATTTTTTATGTCAGATATCGGTGTTTATTTAATTAAATTTTTTATCAAAGAAAGAGAGATAAAGAAATAAAAATTATATTATTAATTTGCATTATTCCTTTATAAAATCATTGACCTTTAAACTATTTCTACAATTAAAGATTTCGATGCAGAAAAAAATAGGAACAGAACAAAAAAACTAAATAAAAGATCAACAATAAAATNATTTCATTTTAATTTAGTNCCGCTGATTTCGTTTATTCTGATACTTTTCATCTAATTTATTTTTTGTTAGAAACGTTAAATTAAAAACTATAAGAAAATAAAAAATAAAGAATAAAGAATAATGTGTGGCCATTGCACATTGAACGCAATGAGCACTATCTAATGAGTTCCTTTTCGGAAAAGTAAAACTCTTATTTGTCGAATGTCCAATAGCCATTTATTTTTTATCTGTATTTTTTATTTATTATTGTTTTTATTATAGTAAGCTTTACTGTTCCAATCCGCTATTTTTTTTATATCGAGATACGCCTTATCAAAAAAGCGTTTTTAAAAAACTAACCGATTCATCGATAGTTTTTGTAAATAATCGATTAATCAGCATCGATATATTCAAACGTCGATTAATTTAGCATCGATTTTTTTTTTATACATCGCCCATCCCTACAGCGCACCTTTGCTTGCATATCCGGATTTCACAAAGGAGTTTATCGTTACAACCGACGCGTCAGGTTACGCAATCGGAGCTGTCTTGTCACAAGGCCCGATAGGACAAGATAAGCCTATCGCATATGCGAGTCGAGTGTTAAATACTGCCGAAAGGAATTATAGCACCACGGAAAAAGAATTGTTGGCAATAGTTTGGGCCGTAAAACATTTTCGACCATATTTATATGGCGTTAAATTTAAAATTGTAACGGATCACAGGGCACTTGTGTGGTTATTCAGTGTCAAGGACCCCGGGTCACGACTAATCCGTTGGCGATTGAAACTCGAGGAATACGAATATGAAATAATTTATAAAAAAGGGAAAGCCAACACCAACGCAGATACGTTAAGCCGAAACATCGAGCAACCTGAAGTATGTACGTACAAAGCGGAGGAAACCGATGAAGGCAAAAAAGCAAGTGAGATACAAGAACTCACGGAGGAAGAAAAGAAACAGATACTGTATGAGTATCACGATGCGCCGTTAGGAGCGCATCAAGGGATAGCGCGAACCGTAAAAAGAATTCGCCAAAATTATAACTGGCCGCATCTTGCAAAAGATGTGGAAGAGTATATCTCGAGGTGTGCATCTTGTCAACGAAATAAGATGACGAAGAGAATTAAGGCACCAATGGTCGTCACCGATACTCCAGCAAAGCCATTTGAGAAATGCGCTCTTGATATTGTCGGACCATTAACCATTACAAACAATGGAAATAAGTATTTGTTGACCTTCCAGGATAATGTAACAAAATTCAGTAAAGCAATACCTATCTCAAATCAGGAAGCAGCGACTGTAGCAAAAGAGTTTGTTACGAAAATAGTGTGCGAGTATGGCATTCCAGAAACAGTACTAACGGATCGAGGCACGAATTTTGTCAGCGAAATTTAAAAACGTGTGCAGATTATTGCAAATTAATAAAGTTCAGACAACGGCATATCACCCCGAAAGTAATGGAGCTTTGGAACGTTCTCATAGGACGTTAGCTGAATATATAAGGCACTACGTAAATGAAGATCAAACAGATTGGGACGAATGAATTCCGTACGCTATGTTTGCGTACAATACTACGCCACACTCAGCCACAGAGTTTACACCGATTGAATTAATGTATGGTAGACAGGCGGAATTGCCGACCGCATTAAGAAAACCTCCAGCAACACGGTATAATCTACAAGATTATGCACAAGAATTAAAGGAGCAAATACGCGCCGCAAATCGCGTAGCAAGGGAAAATCTGCGCGAGGAAAAGGAAAAAGCGAAGCGTTATTATGATAAGAAGACAAAAACAGCATCTTTCAAAGTTGGCGATAAGGTTCTGCTATATGATGAAACATTGAGAAGGGGAAGGTCAAAGAAACTGGAATCACTATGGATTAGTCCGTACGAGATAGTGGCAAAAGTTTCAGATGTTACGTATACAATAAAAACGAGAAGACGCACACAGAATGTGCATGTTAATAGGCTAAAGGCCTTTATAGAAAATTAAGTAAAAAAGAAGTACTTACCGATCCGCTTCACTCCGAGTCAAAGATAGTAACGACAGAAGAATCGGGCGACAAGGGGGGACCCAGGCACACCACGTCGGGATCCCGGTCGAAAAAGGGCCGGAATACACCTGGCAGCGGGATGCGCGGTGACTCCGGGTCTGGAGAGGCCGGGGAGTAGTCTTCCGGCTCCAAGGTTACCACTTCGACCTCAGAGTCAGGCAGGGTAACGGTCGGTGACAGGACGGGCGGCTCCGGCGAGGCAGGATCGTGGTTGTCAGTTGTTTCCGCGGTGTCTCGGACTACGACGACGGTAGCCGCACTTGTGATGTTGATCCGCGAATCAGTGTCACTGTCACCGTCACTAGCACTATTACGTGAGATGGCCCAGTCTTCACCTCCACACTGAAGACCAAGCCAACATGTTACGTAGAGGGACCCGGATGGTTGATCCGCGCATCCGCATCGACTACATGGAGATGCCATGTTGTAAAATAAATGTTTAGTAACACAAAGAAAAATTTCTCCGTCGTTCGCAAGTAATAGCGAAGAACTAACTCGGTGGTGAAGTGTGAAGTTTCGAAAAATCCGTCCCGAAAGGAAGAAGGGAATAAAGAAATTCGCGGTTTAGCATAAATTTGACACCAGGAATTAAAATTAAACTCGGATGAAATCGTAGTCGAGTCAGTTTACTCCGCGACTAAAGTAAAATATGTATAGGCAACACAGCGTAGGAACACGACGTTGCAGAAAATAATGTAAAATATTATCTTACAGGGTAAAAATTTTACTGTTAAAAATTGCCGTATGTAATGCGTGGGATGGGACCGAAGGACAAGAATTCAGGATTCGAAGGTTTCAACATAATCCTGGCATATAGTTCGAGAAACAGGGCGAGATGTACCGTTCTTCCAAGGAATGGAAGCTCGCAATAAGATTAGACGTAACTTCTATATATAGTAGACTAGAACAGTTGCGAAAAATGTTGGATAGTTCCAGAGACTTGTGCGACAACGAGAAAATATTTAGTTAACAATAAGGAGTTCTGCGACAGTTTTTCTGGCGAGTTACGGCAAAAGGAATTCAAGGTCAGTATATTAGTAGGAAGAATAAAAATGATAGTAGGAACACCGACGCGCAGTCGCAGAGGTCTAGTGAACGCAGTCGGTTCTGTGGCCAAAGTGTTATTTGGCACTATGGACGCAGAAGACGAGAAAGTAATCTCGGAGCAGCTGCAATTGATANGAAGTAAACAGGCCGTGTTGCAGCATACTATGAAAAAACTCAATTACAGGTAGTTAATGCCACGATTGCTCACGTAGACGATGTAGAAAATATTATAGAAAGAAATGAGAATAGGCTGCGTGAAGCAGTAGAAAAAATAACTCAAAAAGTTGATGACTACGCACAACAGCAAGAGCTGAGGGACTATTTCCTTGAGCTAGGCAGTTTACTGTCAGAGATGGAACTCGATGCCGAGGAAATAATTGAGTACGTTACCGACGTGCACACTAAGTTTGAAAAATTAGAAATAGTGCCACTTGAACAAATTATACATAGCCTGAAGGAAGCGAATAATCAATTCATGCGGGACCTGCGTTTTCCTTTTGCCGTGACTCTGGAAAACTGGTTAGAGATAAAAAGGTTTGTCACGGTTAGTGTTTATTGCAAGGATTCGAGTATATTTACGGTTGTTAAATTTCCATTGATCAGTTCCGGTAGTTACAACGTGTACAGGGTAATACCCTTACCGGTACATGAACGAGACAACGTGTTCGCGGCGGTGCGAGTCAAGCACCCGGTAGTATCAATAGACACCAAACGCCAAACGTACTTTATACTTAGCGAAACACAATGGAGTAGTTGTATAAGCGTACAAGAACGCTATGTGTGTAAAAACGTGGATTCAATGTATCGGTTCTCGCAGAGAGCGCCCTGCGAATTACAAATGTTTGTAAACGAAGATGGTAAATACGAAGACTGTGAAATCGACCACGTGGTTTCCAACCAAACTATATGGGTGCGATTAACAAAGGCGCGCGTATGGTTGTTCTCGACCTTGAAAGAAGAAACTTTACGAGTTACGTGCAAAAATAGGTCAGAAAGAATGGAGGTCATATCCGGAGTCGGGGAAATAGAGCTGCCGGAGCAATGCAAGTTGACCACAGCAAGTATTATAGTGCGAACTAATCAAGTAGTTAAGGGCGTGGCAATAAATACGTTCTTACCGCGTTTTAATATCACGGCACCAAGAAAAAGGGAACATGCGGAAAGTAACGGCATGGAATTAGAAAATGTAACACGGAACCAAGCGCAGTTGCGATCGTTAGAAGAACAGTTGACACGACTAACGAAAGAAAATGATCTTGTTAATTACACATTTTATAAGCAGCCGCACTTTATTATCCCGACTTTGGTAAGCGTAACCTTGGTTATTGTAACAATCGCGAGTTTGTATTTTGGGTTACGAAAAAGAAAACTCCAAGCTAAACAAGAGATAGTCAGTCTTCGAGATATAAAGCTAAGTGCTCGACAGCTCGGGCACGCGGTGCCCGAGTTTTAAATTTTAGTGTAGTAAACGGAAAATGGCGGTACATTTTCCTTCTTTTAAGAAGAGGAGAAAATGTTGTGAAATCTAGTTTGATTTCGTACGGGCCATTGAGCAATTGCGGAAGGTACGCATCATTGCTCAATCGACCCGAATTTATTTGAAAAAGCAACAAGCAGCATTTCCTGGTAAATGGAATCTGCTTGTTGAGCGTAGAGTTAAGACGCGGCACGCAACGTCAGCGGTAGCAGTTAGATTGCTAAATTGCTGAGTGGTCGCGATCGATCCCTTTAAAAGATCGATCGCAAGCAACAACAGACAGATCGTGAGTAGCTGTTGACAATACTGTGTAGCTCCGAGTCCATCCGGAGAGTTTACCGCAGTAAAGCAACAGCTAAGTGCCAGTGTAAAGCGTGCGTTAATTGTACAGTAAATAGTAATAAACTACGCCAGTTTTTATTACAAGAATCTTTTTCTTCACCAAGTCCTTCATCTTCCTCGATCACAACACCACGTAGAGATGAGCCGGAGCTTCCTCCTCCCCCTCCTCCATCAGCCGGTGATTCCGGTAAATAAACTATTTAAATATTTAAACATTATGAGAAATATATAAAAATAGTGTATATGTTTATAATAATTTTCCAGATGATGAAGACGTACGCGTAGTACTGCATATACAACACGCACCGAAAATGGAAAATGAACAACAATAAGAAGCGGAAGAGGAGCGTGAATTTTCCATATGAAATACGGAGAAGACTGATAGAGGAAGAGCTCGCCGATGTTTTTGAGAGAGAAACGCTACATTTGTCGGACAGAGAAAATAATAACGCCGACAGCGACAACGATGACAATGACAATGCTGACGATGACGACAGTGACGACGACGACGACGACGACGACGATGACGGCGACGAAGCCGAGGAAAACGGGGAAAAGATTGGCGAGAACAATAATGAAGAAAAGAACAACGACAACGACAACAACGGTGGCGATGAGAATAACGACGAAGACGCTGATGATGACGGAGAAGATACGCGCTCCGTAATAACAATTGCAGAGTCGGGAGATTCCGATGCAGAACTGTTGGAAGAAGCGGAAGGTGAATATCGCGATAATTAGGTATAACGTCGATTAATAAATGTTTGTTAGTACATACAGGGTGATTCAGAACAACCCTTTATCCTTGAAAATACATATTCTTGACTAAATCCTAAAACAACTTTTTATATGACAAAATTTTGCCTGAAGCTTACTTTTTGAGTTATTAATAAAAATAGGTGACTTACCACGAGTGGGATACAAGAGGTAAGCAGGGGTGGCGCAACTCACCGTCAGACGCGGACGATTACGTGTGGTGCCTGACGCGATCAGCTGATCGCTACATACTGTTTTTTTTAAGGATAAAGGGTTGTTCTGAATCATCCTGTATAGAGATTTGTAATATTTATGTATTAAATTATTTTTGTTTATAGTACAATACGGAGGTGGAGTCACTGGAGTTGATGCTGATGCTGCTGATGCTGAACGGAGAAAGCGTGCTGAGCATAGCGAAAACCTCGTCGATAATATCAAAGGGCGCGGCAGCAACGCCGATAACGCCAATGAAGCCGACAACAGTGACAACAGCATCATCAGCGACAGCGACGACGCTGATATAAGCGAGAACGTCGACAACACCATTAGCAGAGACACCGACGACGCCGCCGTCATCGAGGCTGCCAGCGAAAACGCCATTGTTGACCATCAGTTCGGTGAATATAATTATATACAGTTACGGGCGGAAAACACACGCAGTTATAAGAAATTCTGAGTAACAGAGAGAGAGGCAGTATTTGAAATACGTGAAATTCGTCCAGGTGCCGAAGTAATAGAATAGGTGGAGAGTGCATTCCGCGAAATTTATAGTTACGCGGTAAATTTGGCAGAACCGGGGGATTATGTCGGGGTGTGGTTTGACTCCCCGACTTTAACTAACGGTGCGGCAGGGCTCTCTTTTCGTCCTACGCGCGACTTGACTCACGAGAATACCTGGTTTCTCGTAAGTTCAGTTGCGCAAAGTAACAGTGGAGTAGACATCGCGACATCTTTTATGATTCGAGTATGCACCGTCCACCCACCGTCGGGTAGAGGCCGTTCTGTAGTCGCAGAAGGAATCGCGAAACGCTCGATTCTTACGATATCGAATCGCGACAATCTCTGCTTCCCTCGCTCACTTATAGCTGCGCGAGTATCTCGAGCGGGGTAACATTTGCACTGGTGAATTACATGAGCGGTGGGATGCAGTGAGACACTCGAACTCTCCGTTACAACGCCATAGACACTGAAATTGATGGAGAGGGCGAGAGTCTCAATTCCGGAAGAAGGATGCGGTATGGGAGAAATAGAGCAGTTCCAGCGTTATCTTGCTGCCGAAGGGACAGCTATAATCGTATATAAATCGGATACTTTTATAAAAGGGGAAAAACCGATGTATGACGATAGCACGTTACTCGTCTCTCTCGGACGCGAATCCTCGTTACGCTTAAATATCCTCTATTGCGAGAATTCGCGTCATTATGCTCCGATTTTAAATTTAAGAGTGGCAGCTGGAAGTAAGAGATATTGCATCCCTTGCAACCAGGCTTACCGTCCCGGGCGAGAGGTTCATCGCTGTTCACATAAATGTCCGCGTTGTCGCGGTGTGTTTTGTGCGAATCAAAAGAAAAAGATTCAATTAAGTGCGAGCAATGCAGGAGAATGTTGTACGGGCGTGAATGTCTCGAGCGTCATCGGTCCGAAAATTCTTATGGCGAAGAACGAGTGAGTATGTGCAACGCTTTGCAATTCTGTGACAATTGCGAGCGTCTGTACAAAACAAAGACGGGTCACGAATGCGGCGTAGTGTTTTGTACCATATGTAATTCGCGTCAAAGAGTGAATCACCTCTGTTATATTAGACCTCTCGAAGATAAAAATGATTCCGCGGAGATGGAGAAAAACGCACGCGTCGCATTTGTATTTTATGATTTTGAGACCCGGCAAGACGAGACGCTCGAGGGTGCCGCAACTGTAAAAATTCACATACCAACTCTCTGCATCGCGCAGCAGATTTGCACCGCGTGTGCGAGTGAAGACGATATGACGGTGCGTTGTCGGTGGTGCGGTGTGCACGAATTTGTCTTTCGCGATGATCCAGTGAAGCAATTCGTCGATTTTGCTACGAGAACGACGAAATGTTTCAAGCGGATCATCTGCATTGCGCACAACGCCAAGGCGTTCGACGCACAGTTCATTCTGCGGTACATCACAGAAAAACGCATCGAGTTGAATCCTCGAGTTATATTAAACGGGACAAAAATCATTGTATTAACGGGCGGACGTACTAAATTTATTGACAGCATCAATTACATGCCGATGCAGTTGTTATCTTTACCTAAAGCCTTTGCGGAGTGGAGTGGAAAAAGGATATCTTCCAGATTTGTTCAACACCCTCACGAATCAAACGTACGTCGGGTCGTTGCCTCTCATTGAATATTACTCACCGGATAATATGAATGGCAAAGAACATGAGCGTTTTTTTATCGTGGCATGTAGAACAGCCGCGCGAAAACGCAGTCTTCGATTTTCAACGCAAAATACTGCGTTATTCTCGCAACGACGTCGATATCCTGCGACGCGCGCTCATGGCTTTCCGCAAGATATTTCTCGAGCGAGGAAACGTATGTCCATTCAAAGAATGCACGACCATCGCTTCCACGTATATGCAAGTTTTTCACAAAAACTTTTTACGCGCGGAAGAGATCGGAGTCATTTTTCGCGGTAGATATCGCCTCGCAGACACGCAATCCCGTAAGGCTCTATAGTGGTCGACGTGGAAAGAGCGTGAGCTCGGCCACGCTATTGTTCACGCAGGGCGCGGACGAGAACAGCATCTCGCGGAAGTCGAAGGCATTCCCGTTGATGGATATTATGAGACGCCGAGCGATGAGCGTCACGTGTTGCAATTCCACGGCTGCCCCGTGTGTTTTAAAACAGAGCGCAATAAACGTCTCTGTACGGGAGATCGCGAAGTCCACGATACAATAAACTCGCGATATAAACGCACGTTGACAACGTCGTGGCGTCGCAAACGAGGGTATATCGTGACGGAAAGATGGGAGTGCACTTTTGATCGCGATATGCAGGAAAATCGCGCAATGAGAACATACTTGGAACAGCACCCGATGCTTGATGTTAAACCACTCGAATCTCGCGACGCGTTTTTCGGCGGTCGAACAGGGAACATTGCGGTTCGACGTGAAGTTACGGGGACGGAGAAAATACGTTACGTAGACGTGTGTTCTTTATACCCTTACGTGTTGAAAACCGGTGCTTTCCCGAAATAGGACATCCGAAAATTCTCGTTTGGGAGGAAGAGTGTGCCTCGCTCATCGGGGCGATGCCGGGTATCGATTTCTCTACGGTCGAAGGCCTTGTGCGCTGTAGAGTGCTCTCGCCGCACAATCTCTTTCACCCTGTACTTCCGTACCGCGTACAGGGCAAACTGCTGTTCGCCTTGTGTAGCTGCTGCGAAAGCTTCTCGCAGTAAGTGTGGTAGCACGATAATCCGCGCGATCGCGAATTGAGGGGATATCGTGCAAATTACGCAAAGCTGTCGAGAAAGCTTATCTCGTGACCGCAGTAAGCGAGATATGGCAATACGAAACGACGCGTTATGACCACGCTACTCAGGGAGGGTTATTCGCCGAATATATCAATCGCTTCTTCAAATTGAAGCAAGAAGCGAGCGAATGCGCGGATGAAGACTCTAAAGAGTGATATCTTTGAGAATACGAAACAATCGAATGTATTAATATTGATATAACTCGTCGAAAATTGGTAATTCAAAGAAAAGGCAGTACGAGTCTTATACAGGATGTAAGTGTATATTCTTTATTGTATATTAATATTTATCAAACGTTTTGATCAAATTTTTTGTTCTTCATCAGTGACATTCTACAAAACAATTCAAAAACAGAAGTCATATCACTTGTAGTTTGTAATGATGTTGATTTGGCACATGGCTGGTTATAAGCACAACAGTGATATAGATCCGTAAGCACAACCATATCACTTACATCCTGTATAAGACTCGTACTGCCTTTTCTTTGAATAATCGAAGGTATTGTTCTCGATCGAGGAAACATCGCACAAAATTCCGGCTTGCGCTCGGTCGCGAAGCTATGCCTCAATTCGTTTTAGGGAAAATTTGGCCAACGATCGAAGCTGACGAGTACCAAGGTGGTGAAGTTGCAGGAGCGTCTCGTATCGTTATTGTCAAGCCCTGAGCACGAGATAACTGATATTACCCGTGAATGACGAGGTAATATATGTTTCGTGGCAGATATGGGACGAAGTAAGCGTACCCTCTCCAATTACCAGCGTAATAATAGCGGCATACACGACGGCTCAGGCGCGATTGAAACTGTACGAGTACTTAGAACGTTTAGGCGAGCGCGTTCTTTATTACGATTCGTGTATTTATGTAAGCAGCGGTGAACTTGGCGAATACGAACCGCGTACGGGAAATTTTCTTGGTGATATAACGGACAAACTCGAAGGCTATGGACGCGGTAATTACATCGAGTCGTTTGTATCCGGTGGCCCGAAATTTTATGCGTACGTAGTTCGTACTCCGGACGGTA